TCTTCTCAAGGCTGTAAAATAGTGAGGTTTGAGCTAAGCAAATCATTAAAAGCTTATGCTAGGTTATCTGTATGGCTTTCTTGTTTGGATTTGGTTAGTTTGAAACGAGCTGTCAAGGGATGGTGCCAAAGATGGTTTGTTTGTAACCAACTGTCAAAAGGAAGGATGAGCTTGGCTTTATCTTTCATGCCTACCCATGTGACCGAACCCAATCCCTTGGATTTTGGTGCCTTCCAAGCACGGCCAGACTATAATGAGGGGTAAGTTATAAGGGGTAAGTTATAAGGGGTTCACTTTATAGTCATTGGATCAATCCAAGGGCTGGGGAGAATTGGGATAAAGTTGTGCAATCGGGTAGGTGAGGAACCCAAACCCGAATTTAATATCCAGCAATGAAGTTGGTCCCAACAAAAACAAAAAAGAGAGGCAAGTTCGAAGTTTGAACAGAAAAAACCCATTGATCTCAAACTCATAGCTGAGAGAAACCGCTAAGCTCTGAGAAACGGTTGAAGGCAACGGGCAACGACGGTTGAAGGCAACGGGCAACGACGGTTGAAGGCAACGGGCAACGACGGTTGAAGGCAACGGGCAACGACGGTTGAACGCAACTCCACTATCTAAACCGTGAAAAAGTATTTATTTTGAGTGGAAGGAGCAAAGGCGTGGATTCTGAAACAGTAAAAAGACGAAGCAGTGGAAGGGGAAGGAGAGAAGCCGTATTCGTTGGAAGTGATAGGTTCCATTTGTGGAGCAAAGCCGCACAAAGACCCAACACAGACACCTTGCGATTGTTCAATAACCAGCATTTGGTGAGTAATTTATGGAATTTGAGTTTAGGGTTAGAGTAACCGTTTTCCCCAATTTGTACCATGAATGTTGTTAGATTTGGCATCTCTTCTTTGTGCTTCACTTGCATGTTAATTTTTGCTTGGGTATATGTTAAAAAACGAATGAATATAAAGTCAATAACATGTCAATAACATGTCAATAATGATATGAATAAGGTAATGGTGTTGAATTGGAGGAGGCCCTCAAAACCTTCCACATTTGAAGCATGCAGAGTACAGATTATCTCTCTGGCGCTAGAATATATATAATTTTTGAAATAAATATTATTTCCGTTGTTACTAAATTTGCCTGTTAAAAATGAGAACAGATAATAATAAACTCATGAATAAAAGTGCAAAGCATTTGAAAAAAGGTTGATCTATGACGATTATGGCTGACTGAAGAAAAAGCTAGAAAGAAAGAAGGATGTGGCAATGGCTTAGCGAGCAGATAGCAGAGCAGATGCTTTGCTTTGCTTCCTTCCACCATCTGTCTTTCTCATTTATTTATTTATTTTGTGTTGTGTATGAAATGACAATAATTGCCATGTGTGTGAAGTGCAGAACTTGCCTAGATTGCACTCACACTCACTCATGCATCAACCATTGATTGGAGTTTGGATCCATAAATAAAACACATGCTAGTGCTTGTAATTCACAGAATCATTGCATTAACAGGTATTTGCACAAAATATGTCATATTGCTTTGATGATGTTAAAGCCTGTGATCAGTAATCCCTATGCGCATGTACTTTGTAAAATTTGTAATGTGCTGGTTGACTAGTTGTGTAAATACCAATGTGATTGTGCAAATACGTGGTAGTATATGTGTTCACGTTATTTCATCTTGTATTTCAGGAAATGGGATCCAACGTGGAGCTGGTATGGCCAGAGTCAGAGGCATATTCCTCACGGGTGAACAACTGCTCACATGCAAATTCAGCCCTAGCTGTAATTCGAGCGAAGTTGAGTGCCGAACAATTAGAACAATTCAAGACATCATGCTTTGGCCATCTTCTGAATATA